GATTGAAAGTACTTATGCTATATCGAAGTCTAATTTTCTACTCTACATAGTTCCTCATTGCTTTTACTATTTTCCAGGGCACAAAGTCTTCCACGTGACCCGGTCAAACATTTTTCCTCTTTTAGGCCACCTAATGTAGATCTAGCCCATGAAGCCGCGGAGCCAACACCTCCAATCTTTAATTCTTTACTCTCTGGCATAAAGCTCGGCGGAGGAGAACACCTATGCTACTAGCGACTCCATACTTCATGTCGAATAATTAAACATCACAACAAACCCACCAAAACCTTAGCTCTTTAAAGCTTCACCTACCTACATACCTCAGTCTACACAAACACAAAAGCTCCCCCACATCCCCCCGAGCGCACGAGCAGCTGCTCGCGCAGCTCCGCTGAAATGCAATTATTACGATTCCTAGTCGCGCTAGCGGTGGTGCTATTCTCCGTCGTTGTAATCGCCGCCGAGGATTACTACAAAGTGCTTGGTCTCGCGAAGTCTGCGTCGGAGAGGGACATCAAGCGCGCGTACAGAACACTAAGCAAGAAATACCACCCTGACAAGAACCCGTGAGTGCAGTTAATATTCTACTATTCCTGATTCTCCATGCTTTATTTACTGCTCCGCACATGGTACACATTACACGCAGCGCAATTGCTAACCCATCCCTCAGCGGCGATGACACGGCACGCGAGAAATTCGTTGAAATAGCAGATGCCTACGATGTACTCTCGACCAGCACGCTGCGCAAAGTATACGACCAATACGGCCACGACGGGGTGGAGCAGCACCGCAAAGGCGGAGCAGCTGGTGGCAACCACGACCCATTCGACATGTTCTCTCGATTCTTTGGCGGGGGGGGACACTCCGGCCACGCGCCTGGACACCGCCGCGGACCGGACATGGAAGTGCGGGCGGCGCTGCCGCTTCGGGATTTCTATAATGGACGCGAGATCAACTTCCTCGTTGAGAAGCAGCAGATTTGCGATTCGTGCGAGGGGACAGGATCCAAGGACCGAGAGGTTGTGACTTGTGATCGGTGCTCTGGACGTGGTATGGTTATTCAGAAACATATGCTTGCGCCGGGGATGTTCCAGCAGGTGCAGATGCAGTGTGATAAGTGCCATGGACAGGGAAAGAAGATTAAAAATCCTTGCCCTATTTGTGAGGGAAATCGAGTTGTTCGGAATCAGGTTGAAACCAGTGCTAGTATTGAGCCGGGGATGGGCAAGGGGACTAGGCTTGTGTTTGAGAATGAGGCTGATGAGAGTCCAGACTGGATTGCTGGGGATTTGATTGTTGTTTTAGATGAGAAGGCGCCTGAGCTTGGGGTAGAGGAGGAGGAGAAGACTGATGGCACGTTCTTCCGACGGAAGGGGAAGGATCTTTTCTGGAAGGAGACTCTTTCGCTGCGCGAGGCGTGGATGGGTGGATGGAGTCGCAATCTTACGCATCTTGATGGACATGTTGTTCGTCTTGGACGTGGACGTGGTGAGGTCGTGCAGCCATTGGCTGTTGAGACTATTGCCGGGGAGGGTATGCCGCATTACTCCGAGGGTCATTTACATGACCACCATGATGAGAATGATGAGACGGGCAATCTGTTTGTTGAGTATACTGTTATCTTGCCGGATCAGATGGAGAGCGGCATGGAGAAGGACTTCCACGCTCTTTGGGAGAAGTGGCGCAAGAAGATTGGAGTTGATTTGGCGAAGGATTCTGGGCGACCGGTTGTGCCTCCGCCGGCGGAGGATAAGGACGAGTTGTGATGATTACTTTCAAAGGCCTTGCTATTTTTTTGATTCCCTTTTCTTTTTGATGGTCATTGTATATTGATTGCATCTGTTGATTTGCGTGCATTTTAAGGCTATGGGCTAGATTAGATGAGACCCTTGGCTTGTATTGAATATTGGATATGATATACAATAGACTAAATCCTAGAATGTAATCTGCTTTTCTCAATTAGCGGATGTTATAGAGTTCCAGATATAGAATTGGAGGGGATCCAATTAGCCCATCGGCAATCGCGTTTGTACTTTGTCGGCATACATGACTCAATATCAAGCTAAAGCCCCTTTACGGAGTTCTCCGTACCCTCGTCTAAGTGGCTTTAATCAACACACGTGGGGGGCGACTAGGATATTACCCATGCCGCCTTAATGCTAGATGCAGATCGACGACCTGGAAGATCTGGCCAGGATTGAATTGTATACCCAATGCATGAAACACCGGATTCTGATGCTAGCTAGCACTGTTTGGTCGCAATGCGTACACTCTCACGAGGGGTTTTGTGGCGCGAGATGTAAACAAAGAAAGAGAGGGCGCACAGCGCATAGATCTACGGCGATGGTCTAACTGGAATAGGCTTACGAGGACAGGGGTATAGGATAGGGGCTGAATGTGGCAGCGAATAAGCTTGGTTTGCCTTCAACTACACACATAACCCACTTCTTTGACCGTCATTTCATGTTCGTGTTCGATATGACTGGTATCAATGTGTTGGGCGTCGGATGTTCATTTGAAAGTTCGGCTAGAGGTGTGCTCTCCATGTACAAACACGTCTAGAAGCATCCCTTCGCGGATACAGGCTCTGTTTGGATTTTGTAGATTTGGGGGGTGTTCTTAGTTATTACAATTAGATATGGTTTATTCTATGAACAGGGTTGGTCTACGTATATTGTTGCTTTGTGGAAATCTTCAAGAGGTACTATATCTAGGTAAGAGCAATAACAGAAATACACATCTTTCTCTCACCGATACAATTCCTAGAGACGCCCAAACGGACCGGGGATGGGAGTAAAGTGCAATCAATTTGTATCAAGGTTTCACTCATCAAGCCAAAGTTGAAATAGAAACTTTCTCCGCAGACACTATCCCGAACTACACGAAGTAAATACTCCCAAAAATCACCTACAAACCCCGAAGTTTCAACCTATTAGATAGCCCATCAACGTACAATATAAGCAAGGATAGACAGTCACTACACATCGCACGAACTACTTGAGGATCTACAAGCCTCGTATATAGACTAGAATAGACTACAACACATAATTCGTACCATGTGATGGGGTCATTTTCCAGAAAACCATTTGCCGGCATCGCATCCCAAACTACAGTGCTAGCCTCTATCTTAGTGCGTCCATATGGACGCCGTACGCCGGTTGTCGTATGCGTGTGCACCATGCGCTACCCATAATTTTGGGAAACCCCACTACGTGAACCTATAGCAGAGCAATGTAGACCAAATGAAAGAATTAGCCAATGCATATTGCCCACGTTGAGGAGGTTGCGTCTAGATGCGGCTATGAACAGACTTTGCGGACGAGCTAAGGGCACGCGGATCCGGGATCCAAGCCGGAAAGATATTGGTTGCCTTCCGGGGCGATAGTGTCATGGAACGATAGGAGTTGCGAAGGTCCGCACATGGAAGCACCAATGAATATGCCGTCAGAAAAGAGTTGGTCAACATATCCAAAGTTTGATAGATTGATGTATGTTGTAGCATCTCTTTTCGCGGGGCGGCATTTAGTATGCATAGGGCATCAAAGAAAGTTACGAGTTTTTCTTTGACCTCTACAGCTGTGGAGCTCTTAGACCATGAGAGCATGTTCTCTGGCCACGCTGCTTGGTGTTATCTCTTTCCTTAAACAGTAAGGTCCCCGGGGCTGAAGGGATTCAGACAGATGGATTGGCTATGGTGGGTTGCGGTGTGGGACTGTGGCTATTTTTACGATTTAATATCATCATTTGATTTATTGTATTATGATTAGATGTTTAGTACTTTGATACTTTTACAATTTTTAGGTATGTTCACTAGCGGGGTTGTTATAGCTGAAGTCAAAGTAAATCGGATTCATCAACTTCTGCCCATCTTGCCTTTTTGTTCACAACGAACTGTATAGCTTTGAATAGATAAAGGGGTTCACTACAATAAAGGATGCTACATATGTTATATATAAGCCCCCATATTAACATGTGGCCGATCATCTGCAGAAATACCGGGAAAATAAAACGGGCTGTTGGATTTAATATTCCCCAGAAGTTTCTAGGGCAAATGGACGAATGGGAAGCTCGCATCTACATGGTCCTGGTATCAGGGTAACCAATCAGCAGTGCATATTCTACCGTTCTAGCGCAAAAAAATACCAAAAAGCCGAATTTGACAGCGATCGACAAACGTTGGCTGCAGGTTCTAGTAACGGCAATGCATCTCCCCACAGGCCCAGCATCTCGGATTTGATGACCTTGCAGCCGACCTGCTGGTTCGGTATGTATAGGGTTTGTATATATGTAGCCATCTGCATCTGGAAATATCTATAGACGCCTATTATTGCCATAGGAAACCCGTGGCATCCGAAAATTCCTATTTATTTGTTTAATTGGGAGGATATTCGTGCGACAATGGCTCCACTTGAAAGATTAGTACATGAATACTTCATAATTTTCAAGATACATCCATGCGTAGGCCAATCATGCTTGTATATTGTGTAGATTTGCTGTTAACCGTTGAAAGGAAGTACAAAGTACATACAGGAATAACGACCCTAGAGGCCCTAGACATTCCAAATCGCCAACGAGCCTGCTATCCACTTCTTTTAATGAACGCAACCAAGATAGGAAACTCGCGAAGATCAGTAGAAATGCTCGTGCCCACTAGACTGCCAACCTCGGGTTCCCAACGGTGCTTTTGCCTCCTTCGCGCGTATCTCGTTTTTCTTAGCCTTCTATGCCTCTGCTAGTATGGTTCCGTGTCGAGGTTGATATATTGGAGGAGGTACGCAGTAGTGTTTGCCATCAAAATCCTCATCTCATCTCAATCCTCAATTATCTTATATCACCACTCTGTCTTCAGTCATCTCAATCTTTACTCTTTCAGCTTTTGGACTTGTTTTTTCATACCTCCTCTTCATATTTCCACTTAATATCTCTTCATCTACTCTGCATCTCTTCGATAAACAGATCTATTGACATATCAACGACCCATCCCTCATTGGCATCGGAAGATGCGTCCCCTCTCGCTAGCAAGTGGCTCTAGTGGCGATAAAGTCATACCCTCTGATGCCCTGGAACCAATCGCTATCGTTGGTCTAGCCACCCGCTTTCCGCAGCAAGCAACGACTACTGAAAGTCTGTGGGAACTTCTCCTACAGGCCCGCTCGACGTGGTCATCGATACCCAAAGAACGCTTCAACTCAGACGCCTTCTATCATCCTGACCCTGAGCATGGTGGAACAGTAAGTCATATCCGAACCATAACAGACCAATCTCGCCATGGCAAACAATTTGTTAACTAATAATATCTATCTGTAGTTCCATGTCCAAGGAGGTCATTACCTCTCAGAAGACCCCGCCTACTTCGATGGCTCCTTCTTCAATATCACCAAGAATGAGCTCTTGACATTGGATCCGCAGCAGCGGCTGGTACTGGAAAATGTCTACCACGCCTTGGAAAATGCAGGAATTCCATTGACCGGTGCTGTTGGCTCCAACACATCGGTTTTTGTCAGTGGATTCAACCATGACTACCTTGGTATCCTCAATTCAGACCCGGAAACCACTTTGAAATACAAGCCCACAGGTGTTACCAATGCCATTCTGTCCAACCGTGTTAGCTGGTTCTTTGACTTCAAAGGACCTAGCATGACCATCGACACGGCTTGTTCTAGCAGCTTGGTGGCTTTGCATCTCGCTGTACAGAGCTTACGCGCTAGAGAGACGAGCATGGTACGTTATTTGTGTTTGAAAGAAGTCTTCTCATGCTAATATATTGATGATAATTAAGGCTGTCGTCAGTGGCGTGAGCATTCTTGAAAATCCCGTGGAATCCATCGGGATGAGCCACCATGGTTTGTTGGGACCTCAAGGGCGGTCTTTCAGCTTTGACTCCCGTGCCGAAGGCTATGCACGAGGCGAAGGCGTGGGTACAGTTGTAGTGAAGCCTTTGAGTGCTGCCATCAGAGACGGAGATACCATTCGTGCGGTTATTCGGGAGACCGGAGTCAACCAGGATGGCCGCACGCCGGGAATCACAGTTCCCAGCGCAGATGCTCAAGAAAGATTAATCCGTGAGGTCTACTGGAGAGCTGGTCTGGATCTCGAACAAACAAGATTTGTTGAAGCCCATGGCACAGGAACAAGCACCGGTGACCCAATCGAAGCGGGTGCTCTTGCGAGAGCATTCAAATGTCGCAGAGAGACTCCTTTGTACGTCGGGGCCATCAAGTCCTCTATTGGGCACCTGGAGGGTGGCTCAGGTGTGGCAAGCATTATCAAATCTATTTTAACCCTCGAGTCTGGGATCATTCCTGCGAACTTTGATATGAAGCAGACAAATCCTTCCATTCCCGCAGTGGACTGGGACATTGCATTCCCTACTGAGGCTCTTCCATGGCCATCATCGGGGCTGCGAAGAGTATCTGTTAATTCATTTGGAATTGGTGGCACGAATGCTCACTGCATTCTTGATGATGCTTACCACTATCTCAATGACCGTCGTCTTACAGGTGCCCACCGCACCACATCTACTGTCCCCACAACCCAGAAAATCAAGAGCCGACTCTTGGCCCTGTCCCGATCAGGAAATGAGCCAAATGATATTGTGACAGATTCACTCGATGACAGCGACCATCTTGGGCAAGAGAACAAATTTGTGGACACACCCACAAGCGATGTTTTTTGTGCATCACCCACATTCACTTCGTCAACATACACCAGCTTAGTCGAGAAACCAAAGGTGTTCTTGCTCTCAGCTTTCGACGAAGATGGCGTCAAGCGGAACGCAGGTGAATTCGCCAAGTACTTGAACCGGAGAACGACACAGTCCGTTCTCCCTGACCATCTCCTTGATGATCTCTCATTCACCCTGTCAAAGAAACGATCCCAGTTCCTTTGGAAGAGTTTCGTCATGGCATCCTCGGTCAAAGAGCTCGCATGGAACCTGTCGGAATCAAATTTTGCGAAGCCAGCCAGAAACACCAGAGTGCCAGAGGTTGAATTCGTTTTCACTGGTCAGGGAGCTCAATACCAGGCCATGGGTCGAGAGCTCATGATCTATCCCGTTTTCCAAGAATCTGTGGAGGAAGCATCGGAGTATATCCGCAGACTCGGGAGTCCGTGGTCGCTACTTGGTATTTATTTACGTTGCCTCTTTTTCTGAATGTGCTCGACTAACGTATTACAGACGAACTCCTGACTGAAAGAGAGACACCCCGAGTCAACTTACCCGAAATCGCTCATCCATTGTGCACGGTTTTGCAAATTGCGCTCGTGGATCTCTTGGCTAGCTGGGAAATATTCCCAAAACGTGTAACGGGTCACTCATCCGGGGAGATAGCTGCCGCTTACTGCTCTGGCAAACTGTCCCGCGAAGGCGCCTGGAAGGTTGCATACTTCCGTGGATACGTATCATCTAAGCAGCTTTCCGCAAATGGAGCGATGATGGCTGTGGGTCTGGGTGCATCACAACTACAGCCATATCTGGACTCTGTGAAAAAGGACAACACCGGGGAGCTCATCATCGCCTGCCGCAATAGCCCCAAGAACAACACTGTGTCTGGAGATGACGCTATGATTGACTGCCTGAAGAATATTCTCGATGCTGATAGCATCTTTGCTCGAAAGTTGAATGTCAAGAATGCTTATCACTCAGCCCACATGCATGCGATTGCCCAGGATTACCTTCGCCTGATGGGAACACTACCTTATGGAAGGAGGCTGGCAGCCCCACGCCCAGTGCATATGTTTTCCACTGTCACGGGGCAGCAAGTTGAAGAACATCATCTACCTGCTCAATATTGGGTGGATAATATGGTTTCCCCTGTTCTTTTCACAAGCGGGTTGGTTGCAATGACCTCAAGACCAATTTCCAGCAATGGTTCCACCGATTCCACCAATTCTTTGCGCCTTATCGTGGAAATAGGGCCTCACTCCACCCTTCAGAGTGCCATCAAAGAGACACTAGCTTTGAAGAGCCCAAAGTTGGAATTCAAGTACTTGGCCGTTCTCAAACGGACAGATCCCAGCCTTAACACTCTAATCACTACAGTTGGATTTCTAGCTTCAAGTGGATGTGAGCTAGATTTTCATGCTGTGAACCAAGCTTCTAGATCTAAGGCAAGAAGGCGGCCTAGACTTTTGGTGGACCTGCCACCGTACAGCTTCAAGCATACCGAGAAGATTCTATTTGAGAGTCGAATGAGCAAGAATCTTCGAACCCGGAAGTTCCCTCGTCATGACCTTTTTGGTGCCCCAATTACGGATTGGAATCCTACTGCTCCCAGATGGAGGCATTTTGTCCGATTGAACGAGAACCCCTGGCTAAGGGATCACATGGTAAGTCCAAAATCGTCGACTAGATAGCTTCAATTATTAACATGGCTTAGGTTACTGGCAACTATGTCTACCCTGGCGTGGGGTATCTGATCATGGCGATTGAAGCATCGAGGCAGTTGGCCGGCGAGGCAAAGATCACCGGTTTCGAGCTGCGCAAAGTCAACATCCGAAGAGCGTTGATCGTACCTGATACCAAAGAAGGAATTGAAGTCTCTTTGGCAATGTCAACTGTCGAAGACTCCTTAGCGTCGTCGCGAACGTGGCGGCGGTTCCAAATAACTTCCTATAATGCATCAAGTGGCGAGTGGACAGAACACTGCATTGGCAACATCACCGTCGACCTCGAAACAGCCTTTGACCCAGTGGACAATGGCCGCGAAGCAGAAGAAGAAGGCCGAGCATGGGAATCTGAACTTCTCCACACAAATGAGACATGTACCAAATCCATGCCCTTCAAATCCACATACAACAACCTCCAAACATCCGGCCTCAATTTCGGTCCTTTGTTCCGGAACCTTACAGACGTTCGCGCAAGTGGGCACGGGCTTGGTAAAGTTGTTGGATCAGTGACGGTCCCAGACATCGCACAGTCTATGCCAAAGCAGTATCTACATTCTCATCTCATCCACCCTGCCACAATGGATAGCATGATCCACTTGATGATCGCGGCTGTTCTCGACTTTACTAACAAGTCCACTCTGGATCAGATCAGACTGCCAACTTTCATACGCGATGTCTGGGTTTCAGCAGATCTGAATTCAGCGCCAGCCCATAAATTCACAGGACATGCAACCGTATCCATGGTTGGATCTGATAAATTCGAGGGCCAGATCCAAATGCTGGACGAGGGAACAAACACACAGCGCATCCGAATGGACGGTATCGAGCTCACTCCACTGGAGTCTGGTCTTGCTGGAAGTAATGAGCGCAAACTGTGTAGCGCGATTGAATACAAGCCCGACGTCCATTTCCTCGACTCAAAATCGGCCTGTGCAGTGACCTCTCTCGATGCTACCAATGATACAGAGGCTCTATATTGGGTGAAGCGTCTTCAGCTTGCAACAATGCTCTATGTCATGGATGCACTGGAGGAGCTCAAGGACATTGATGTTATGAAATTCGACTTGCACATGCAAAGATTCTTTGACTGGATGGAGCATATGCAAGGCTTGCTCGAGAGAAATCAAATAATCCATCTGCCCTACAGCGAATTCAAGGAAGCATTTCAGAATGAGGCTTTCAAGGAAGCCATTGGCAAGGAAATCGAGGCCCATAGCGCCGAAGGTGCCATCACAGCCCGAATGGGCCGCAATATTGCCCAAGTTGTGCGCCAGAAGACTGATCCGCTACATCTCATGTTCGGTCAAGACGCCGTAATGGAACAGGTGTACAAGGAAGGCCTCCACTTATATAACCTGCCGCAGCATTTAAAGAGTCACTTGTCTCTACTTCGGCACCAGCATTCCGAGCTGAACATCCTCGAGATAGGTGGTGGCACGGGCAGCTTCACTGCTGAAGTCCTGGCCGTTCTCTCACCAGACCTTGCAAAGAGCAAAGGCAACATTGCTAGCTACACATTCACCGATATCTCATCCGGCTTCTTCGAGAAAGCAAAGCAGCGTTTCCAATCATGGTCTGATATCATGAACTTCCAATCGCTCAATATCGAGCGAAGCCCTGTCGATCAGGGACTTCAGCTGGGGGCATATGACCTGATATTCGCTGGCAATGTTATTCACGCCACTGCAAACCTACAGAACGTACTGCAGAACCTTCGATCTCTGCTGAAGCCGGGTGGTCAGCTTGTTATGCAGGAGGGCATCCGACAGGATTTCCTTTGGTATCCACTTGTTTTCGGCCAGCTTGCTGGGTGGTGGCTGGGTGATGAGCCGTGCCGTCAGTGGTGTCCCTATATCCCGGCCACAGAATGGAATCCCCTGCTGCTGAAAGCGGGATTCTCGGGCATTGATGTCGAGTATCCCAGTTCAAATGATCCAGATTTGACATGGCAGAGCATTTTGGTTTCTTCTGCCATAGAAACTCCCAAGGAGGATTCATTGAATACTGCGGTTATCCTTACGCTCGGCACATCAAAAGCTGAGCAGGTCATTGAGAACCTCCAAGGGCTTCTGTCGGAACTGGGATACACGACTATTCTCGTGAAGGGGCCGGAAGAAGTGGGAAACTCCGTCTTGTCGGATGCAGTTTGTATATCACTGATGGACTTGGAGTCTCCTTATCTGTTCGATATGAGCGAAGCGGAATACGGCACACTCAAGAAAATGCTCATCGAAAGCCAGAATTTACTATGGGTGACCTGCGATCCAACCACTCAGCCGCACGCAAGTATGAGCCTTGGCCTTCTCCGAACTGTGCGATGGGAGCGGGATGCAGATGGCTCAAATATCGTCACCCTGACAGAGGCGGAGTCAGAAAACACTTCCCCAAAGATACTTGCTACAGCTATTGGCAAGATTGTCAAGCGGCAATTCGTGAACAAGCCGGAGAACGATCGCCACGCTGAGTACATGTTGCAGAATGGTCTTATACACATTGGCCGTTTGAACGAGTGGGAGGCCGCGGATCAGTTCCTTGCTGCGCAGTCCTCTCAGCAAGCTCCTCAACTTCAACGCCTCGGTGATTATGATACTACCATTGAGTTGCAGGAGACTGCTGTTAGCACCGGGGAATACCACTGGGTCATTGATGCGCAGCATGAAGAACCGCATAAAGACACCGAGGTCGAGGTCGAGATCCGAGCAATTGGTCTCTCTTCGGGTGCTTCCGCCGGCCGCCTCGCGAATGAGATTGCTGGTGTTGTGAGCAAGGTTGGACCGAAAGTCAAAGGCCCAGCCCTGGGTGACAGAGTCATCTACATCTCGGGTGACGAAAAGGGTGGTTGTGTCCGAACACACGGTCGAGCTGATCAGCGGCAGCTCGTGAGAATCCCCGATGAGATCTCATTCGAGGTCGTAGCCGGTTTAGCTTGGGCATACGCGACAGCGATCCAAGGACTCGGGGAGATAGCTCATCTGGCACCGGAAAATGCTATCTTGATCTACACCAGTGCAACGGATATCAGTCAAGCGGCCATTCAATATGCCCAGATGATCGGAGCTACAATCTACGCTACTGTGGGAACGGTTGAAGAACGTGATTTGCTTGTCTCTGACTATGGTATCTCTCAAGACCGTATCTTCTCTAGGAGAGATCTGAGCTTCGTCAAGGGTATCATGCGGTGCACACAGAATGCTGGGGTTGATGTAGTTTTCAACACAATAAGCGGCGAGGCACTCCGGGGATCAATCTCATGCCTTGCTCCATTTGGGACATTTGTTGATGTGTCGAATCGGGATCTACGAGCTGATACTACAGTCGAGCTAGCCTCCTTAGCTCGAAATGTGAGCGTCCACACTGTCGACATTCCTTTACTGGCTCAGCATCAACCAAAATCAGTTCGTCTTCTGCTGACAGAGGCACTGAGATTGTATTCTGAAGGCAAGATCCGCCAACTTCGAATAACAACTGTCATGGACTTCACCCAAATCAAAGAGGGTATTCGGGCTGCGCAGAGCGGAGAAGTAGCAAAGGTTGTGATCGCACCCAATCCATCTAACATGGTACCTGTCGTCCCACGACCACTCTGGCCATGTCACTTTGACCCGCACGCCTCATACGTCCTTGCCGGTGGCTACGGAGGCTTGGGTCGCAGTTTAGCACGATGGATGGCATCTCGCGGCGCAAAAAGCCTGATTATCCTATCTCGCTCATCAGCTTCGAGCCCAGAGAAGATGGAGTTGATTGCCGATCTCGACAGAATGGGATGCAAAGTCCATTCGCTAGTCTGCGATGTGGCCGATGTCTCCACCCTCCAACAATTGTCCGCAGAGGCCTTTCCCAATCTACCTCCTATCAAAGGATGCATTCAGGGATCTATGGTCCTACGGGTAAGTCCACAGTCCTCAAATTACTAGACATACAAAAGCTAACATAATTCCAGGACGGCGCCTTCGCCGGAATCTCCTTCGAAGACTGGCAAGCAGCCATCAGACCCAAAGTTCAAGGCTCCTGGAACCTGCACACAGTCCTACCAGATAACATGGACTTCTTCATCATGCTCTCCTCAGTGGCAGGCATCTTCGGTAACCGCGGACAATCTAATTACGCCGCAGGCAACACCTTCCAAGACGCACTGGCTGCATACCGGGTCTCAAAAGGCATGCAGGCCGCCAGCATCAACCTGGGCAGTGTATCCAATGTGGGATGGGTAGCCGAGAACCGAAGCTCGATGCGCACGCACACAGCAACATTATTCGAGCTTCTCCGCGAAGAAGAAGTCCACTCAACAGTCGACTTCCTCATCCGCGATCAGCAGGACGGCGGTAATGCATCATCGCGCTCGCAACTCGTCCTCGGTCTACCGACTGCAGAGATGTGTCGGCAGAACGGCGTGCCGCTGCCCACGTACCTGAATTACTCGATGTTCACGCACTTCCGGAACACGGCGACTGCGAAGAGTCGCGAGGTCTCTCAGCAGAAGACTGTTAGCACTGCTGCGCTTTTGTCGGCGGTTTCTGGCTTCGAGGGTGCTGTGGTTGTTGTGTCCGATGGGATTGTTGAGAGACTTGCTTCGCTGCTTGCTATTCCCTCTTCGGAACTTGATGCGCAGCGCTTCGGCTTTGGGGGTATTGACTCACTTGTTGCTATGGAGTTCCGGGCGTGGATTGTTAAGGAGCTTAAGGCTGAGGTGTCTTTGCTTGATATTATGGGGGCGGAGAATATTAGGGCTTTGAGTGAGAAGATTGCAGGCAGGAGTCGTTTGATTGCAGGAGGATCTGGTTCTAGATCTTCCTGAGCGATCTTTTTGTCTCTTTTTTTTTGAGGGTTTCTTAGGGTTTGCTTTTGATATTGCTTTGCGCTGGGCTCTCATGATTTATTGCTCTCATGTCTGACGCCTTGTTACGAGATATGATTATTTAACCTTTTTTTTTCCCCACAGAGTTTTTTTTTTCCCAGGCTCTTATGCTGTTAGAGACTAGATTCGGTGATTAACAGAATGTGTACGGACGTTTTCTACATACCTTTCATCTTAGAATATTTTAAGATTAAGAGGTAATAAATGAGATACTTTGAATCTATTCAATCGAGTCGTTCTATGCGAATAGAAAAAAGTCCGTTCCGACATATTAATAGTAGCAAAATGCCGTGCTTGCATTAAACATGGCTCATCCAAACCCTATACCTTGCATTCGTTATTCATTATGTTCATCAACCTTGAAATATCTACCGTGCAGACCCCGAGGGGAAATAACCCCGTAAGCCCTGACCAGGAGCTGCACAAACTGCCAACTTCGGTTCAGCCCCGGACCGCTCATGGTGCCACGCACGCTCGCGCAGGGCCAAGTAAACTGAGCGGAACGGCTGGAGGTCACCAGGCAGCCGAGCAGGCGGTTTACGAGGATCAAAGCCTAGCTGCTGGAGTTGCTCCTCACACCAATGCAGGGTGTCTGGTGGTAGATATTGCTCTGTATCGTAATCGGTGTGATTTTGTTGCATGGCCTGCAGCATTGGGACGTCGGCTGGGAGGCCGAAGTTCTCTACGCCCTTGGGCGGGTGATGGTAGTTCATATAGGGTTTTCCGGGGGTGCGCTCTGGGTGATCTGTTTGTTTGCGGATATTGTGCATGTTCCAGGTTTGCACGTAGGATTTGATGTGGGAGCGGAGAGTGGGCATGTAGATTGCGAAGAGAGCGACTTGTTCGGGGATTACTGTTGATGAGAAGAGGCCTTCGTTATGAAGTTCGCGGAAATAGTTCTAATTCAGGTTAGTATTCTGCGATTGGATGTAGAAGGAACCTGTGAAAGTTGAAACTTGACTAACATTGTAAAGTGTTACTACTGATTTAGCAAGCTGGGCCCACCAGGATTCAATCCGGTGGGTATCTGTGGCTCGTCCGGGTGCACAGCACTGCTCACGCTGGACATCCGGCTCAGTGACGCGACGTAGCGCAAAGTGAGCATCGGCTAGAAGAGGGACCTCGGACTCAAGGTCAGATCGAAGAGTGCGTGGTTGTCGATTTTTAGAAGCAACAGTCTCAAGATGGTTTTTGAGAACACCCACGGCCGTGTGCGCATCCACGCCAACATGAATCCAGAGAACATATCGAGAATATGAGTCAAGCTCTGCATGAATCCGGAACCCGAAATTGGCTAACTTTGAGTACCCATTCACGTGCCATGTCAGATTAGGGCCGGCTAGAACCTTTGGCGGGGGAGGACGCCGGGGCACATCGCTCGTGCGGCGTTCCACTGTATCCGGGCGCAGCATGCGATAGACACTGTAGAGACGATCTCGGGCGAAGACGTACCCCTTGCTTCGGAAGTGGTTGTGCAGTAGTTCCTTTCCATATCCCTCAATGGTCCCCTTATCCATTTCCTCGGTCAGAGCGTCGAGGATTTCCTGGACCTGTGCTTGTTGCTGTGTGGGCGAGTCAAGGCGGAGTCGGATGCCGAGTTGGTGACGAAGTCTACGGAGCGTGCGGTTGGAGACATCGTAGCCCTCGTCGTGTAGAACGGTAACGATCTCTTGGTCGGTCAGACCCACGTCGAAAAAAAGGTTCTTTATGCGGGCGTGCAGTGCGGGATTGGAGGAATTGTTTTCCTTGACTTTCTTGACGCCCCATAGCTGTAGGCGTTTGGTCAGAGTACGCGCGGAGATCTGAATATCATGCTGCCTCTTCAGGTGCTTGCAAATGTCGTCACTCTTCATTTTCTTTTCATACAGGCCAATGATTTCCGCTTTGTACGGCTCAATGTCCACCCGAGGACGGCCTGACATCTTACTTGGCGTATCAGCTGTATTCTCCATTTTGCATTCAGATCAGCCAATGTTGATAAGAAGTAGCCGTGGGGAGATGTTGGCGGCTGGGGAAAGGCGGGCGGTGTGCGAGATCGACCTGCAGAAATCGACCGCCTTGATTTTTTTGTTATCGCAACGACTCTTTTGGAGACACAACGTCCTCGCTCTGCTCAGTCATTCTCGATCTATTTTTCGGTTTAATATCATCTAGCCGAAACAACTGCCGCAATGGTCCGTGAACTCAAGCACCACGAGAAGAAGTACGTCCGCATCTGAAATTCCGGCCCCAGAAATCTCGGCCCCAGAAATCTCAACCCGGTCCCATCCAATATCTTCAAAGCTTCAAAGCTTCACAATACCACGAAAGACCAATAGCTAATCTAAACCCCCTGCAGACTTCTCCGGAAGGTCGACTTCCACAACTACAAGTCGGACGGCAACCACCGCGAACATGAAATCCGGCAAAGATACCTCCTCCAAGACCCAATGGACTACCGCAAATACAACGCGCTCTGCGGTTCTCTGCGCCAGCTCGCACACAAGCTCTCCCAACTGGATCCGGATGCGGATCCGCTGCGCAAGAAGCTCGAATCCGAGCTGCTGGAGAAGCTGTGGCGCATGGGAATCCTGAAGCAGTCCCGTGAGCAGGGCGCTGGTCTCTCCAAGGTCGAGCGCGAGGTTACAGTTTCTGCGCTGTGCCGTCGCCGATTGGCTGTCTTCATGGTGCGCTCTGGCATGGTTGAGACTATTAAGGCTGTAAGTTGCGGTGTGGGGATCTGGTTCAGGGTGGATTTATGCAATGGAATGCTGACTTTTTTTCCCTTTTTTGTTAGGCTACTACTTTCATTGAGCAGGGCCATGTCCGTGTTGGTACAGAGGTCGTCAATGATCCCGCTTTCTTGGTTACCCGCAACATGGAGGATTTCGTCACCTGGGTTGATTCCAGTAAGATCAAGCGCAACATCTTGCGTTACCGTGAGAAGTTGGATGACTTCGATCTTCTGTGATCGAACCTATAAAAAAAGCATTTTGGGTTTTTGTTCTGATATACCCGGCGCTTGTGCATTGTGGCCTGTTTAGGTTTGGCGTATTGATGTTTCATGAAATGATATCTCATGTCCAAGATTTTCTGGATAACTCAATATGGATATGAATACTACCTATGTTCCCTCGTAACGTAGAGAGTAAAGCACCCGTTGTACACATTTAAGCACTTAGGGCTCCGTCTACTGAAGAAGCTCAGCCCCACAGATTCCTCCGAGCTACCACACTACTTTCCTACGCCCTGACACCTTTCAAGGTTTCATATGAACTTGCCAAATCCGACAGGAGTTTTTATCTTCATGTGCAAGTCATGTCTAATTACCAGATTCGGGAGCATGAAAAGAAATGCTTATACTCTTTCGACTCAGGCGTTGTTGAGCTTAATGTGCACTGTCGGATCCCAGAGTCTACCCGTGGATCCTCTTGGGTCCCTCTGACAGACCGATCTACAAATAAGCCACTGTATGACGGCACGATTTACTGTGCTTTACATCCAGAACTTTCTATCAATAATGGATTGTTATGGGATCTGTATCAAGTTCTTGCTCGGCAAGGATGCGCTTTCACAATCTTTCCTTCCGTTGCAGCATTTGAGCTCTACATGAACCGGGCAAAGGAAACAGGCGGGGAGTTTAAAGAGGGCAACTGGGATGTACGGGACGGCGAATCTCGGATATGGCGCGACGTTAAGTCGAATGCTGTTGATCCAGACACGAAATCTGGTTATTGGGTTACAACCCATGTTGTTGATTGGTTTACTCTGCCATATATAAACTTTGTTTAATTTTCTATTCAACTAAAAAAGCAGCTCTGAACCTGAATCTTGTTTTCAGAAGTTACGTCGGTTTATGCCTAGTGAGCAAATCAGGGCCCTTAGATGATGATCAGTGGGTGGATCGGGTCTGGTCATGATCAGGCGATGCTGAGCAAGCAAATCATTTTGCCCATGGGGTGATCTAGGTATTGACCGGTGATTTCGGAAGTCAGGCTACTCATAGGTGTCCACAGTTTTACTCGGTGATCAAATGGCGGCAAGAGGTAAGATGAGCACTAAAACAGGAAGAGAAAGGTTTCAAATGCCATATATTATCTGTTAGATATGTACCGTATGAGGCTATATACAGCGTTCTAATAATAATGAGGGTATCTCAGTCTTCAAAAAAAACGACAGGAGCAATGCAACGAATGCAAAAAGAACTGCAGATAAAAATAGGCCAGGCAGTGAGCCCCCCGTAGACAAGGGACGTATTTTACGGCGGGTTGGGAACCCCTGGATGCAAATGCAGATCATCACTTGGGGATCATGGTATCATAGGAAAAGCAGTGGGGGCAGTGTAGTTTTGTGAGCAGCACCTGTGCTATGCTCTGTGGGGTGACAGGGTAATAGTGATAGATATCGAGAATCCAAATCGGAACCAAGAATTTAGGTATTAGGAAGAGGAGCAGACTTCGAACGGAGACACGTCCACCGTTTTCGAGCGCCATCAGGGGAATTTGAATTTGAATTTGAGTTGGAGGTCGGAGTCTTGCCCAGGAAATCCAGAAGCTGGGGCTGCGGCTTTCCCTGGTGAGAATCCGGTTCTGGTTCTTCATCTTCGGGAATATCCATGCGGAACCGACGCACACTGCCTTCGCGCTCTGTCTTTCCTTCCTCGAAGAAGGGGGTGCGCGAGTCGCGGGACTGGAAGCAGCGAGGCGCGACGCGGCGCCACAGCCCGCGGACACCACTGCTTGCGCGGTCAATCTTCTCGTACTCACGCCGCCGGGTATCAGGTGAGGTCCATTCCATTACTGTCGCCGGGACATGGATGGACGAGGACGAGGGGCTGTGGTGGTGTTTGGTGGGCAAGGTGTTTGATCGATCTCTTGAAGTGATGAAGTGTGGTGCGCTCGGCGAGGTGGGTGAAGTAGATTCTGGCTCGAAGCGGAAGCTGGAATATAATGGTGTGATAGGAGACGAGGGTGCCGAGTTTCCTTTCTCTGTTGATATGCGCCTCTCGCGCTGAGATCTATAAGTAGCTGATGCTGCCCGGTGTAGAGAAGGTCTTGTCTCGATCGAGGACCTATTTGATCCATCGCCTTGGAACAAACGGCATGACTCCCGGTGTAGAGCTAGTAAGGACTCGCGCTTGTCCTGCATGGAGCTGCGAGGTGATGCGACAGGCACGATGGCAGCGTTGGGCACAGCCCGGCGCGGTGAGTGGACGGAACTACGACGGCTGTTGGGTCGCGATCGCGCGGTGCTGCGGGATGCCGAACGAGAGTGACTGATCGAAGTAGATGTCGATGTTTGTGATTCTCGGCGGCCAGGTTCGTTTCCCGGTGGGTTGATCCTTTTCACCTTAGGGGCCATCTCAGATGGGGATATAGGGGATATAGGTGATTCGCATCCCTGGAGTTCAGTGATAGTGGGCTCCCACTTGGAAATAGCCAAAGATGGCTTAAGGGCCAGACATGTGACGGTAGCCATTTCCCGTCAGCAGGAAACTTTGATCATAGGCAAATGTAGGCAGGTGCCCTGACCAGATGTAGATCGAGGGGGAAGTAGATAAGATTAGGGCTAAAATGTATTAAAACGAGAGGTCGACTTCATCTTGAAGATAGCCAAGGGTATGAAACAAAAAAAGAAATTAGTAGGATAAGACTTTGACAAGCAAATGTCTTTCCTTTTATTAATTCAATATGCGCACACCGCTCCTCATCTATTTTAGCGGAGTGGGGGGGCGTCTAGAGTGTCTAGCCATGATCGTCCTATGAAGGCGCCTACCCTGCAGTTACTTGCAGTTACAAATGCAGGGGCTTTATTGTAACGGGGTATGGGGTAGATATACTATGGTAATTTATAGTCCGTGCTAATAATAAAGAACCGAACTAATCCAAGGGAATAAGCAACCCATTCATGACCACATGGTCACATTGTCAATGTAGAAACTCTGTTTGGACGATCGATTTCGTAAATACGACCTGGGCAGACGTGCTAACTTTATTAACACTAACTTTAACCAACTGCACTAAGTACACTAACTAAACTAACTGCACTCACTAGGGCAGAGACTAAACCTATGATGGATATTGCACCCTGCAAAGTGTGCGTTGGGACACCGCTTAACGCTAGTCTCAACGATCTACCAAATGACGGAATACTTTCATTTAAATGCGAAATATAAATTGAACTAAACATGTGGATGCATTTCTACAATGATCTTCAACTTTCTACGGAGTAGTTCAAAGAGAATAAAGGAACTCAGGATTCTCCCGGTCTGTTAAATCAAGGAACCTGCAAAAGTTATCAAAAGTTAGCAAAATAGCTAGTAAAACGTTGTAAATCACTTACTCTTGATTCTCTAGTCTCACATACTCTGGTCGAGAAGTGAACAGGATCTTTTTCTGATTCTCTCGGCGATACCACATCCAGACCCCGACCAGCAAGAATAAACACACACCCCAGCAGACGATGATAGTCACCTCGGCGGGGACATAGCGGGGGGCATCCTTCGGACGGAAGGTTTGTGGGCCTAGAACTTGTTAGCGTACTCGCCACATTTTACCCCCTTATCTCTTGACCCTCTTACCGATAATATTTCCAACACAATATCCAATCAAATACAAAGCCGCCACAGTCGTCTTCTTAGTATATCCCGCGACATTGGACGAAATCAGCGATAGCAAAGCCACGAAAGGTGTCGGACTGGCATTTGTGAGGTAAAAGCCGATCAAACGACCGACATTGTTTGATAAGGGCAGGGCGACAATTAGCAACATTCCCACGATCGAAGCGACTAGCCCACCCAAACTAGCGAGGATGCGCTGCCCGGTGATATGTCCGACATAGCCGTTGAGCAACAGTGCAACGATTTCCACTGCGCCGCCGGGGACACCCAGAATCAGACTCTCTTTCGCGCTGTATCCGAAGCTGGTAATCTGGTCGACTAGTCAGCATCCTTGTAAATCCTCAAGTCTTTATAAGGTAGCATCAACATACCAGCTGACTAAAAAAATTGGAAATACCCCCATTCGGGATATCAGCAATCAAAGCATAAAAGAAGAAAGCCCAGGTCATCGGATCCAAAAGCGCTTCCTTGACCTGATATAGCTTGAAATGCTTATTTCCAATACCTTGCTGGTTGACCCGCACACGGGCAACAGCCAAGATGCGATCTTCTTTATTTAACCAGCGTGCATTAAGTTGGTTGTCTGGCACAACCCAGAGGAATACCAGTCCCAGACAGATAGTGAGGAGGCCAGTAACAAGGAAAATAATCTTCCATGGATCGATGGAGGAACCGTGTTTCTCAGCTCCGACGGCGATGCCGTACGCGACTACTCCGCCGAAGATCTGGCCCACGCCGTTGAAGCTGAACCAGATGTTGACGCGACTGCCTTGTTCTTGTTTTGTATACCACTGTTCGGGTGTTAGTTTGACTCATTGTATCTAGTTCATAGCTTATGGCTGTGAACTCAGAAGAAGAACAGGGGTGGGTTTCTGTACCTGGGAAGTTAAGAGTGCAAAGCCCGGCGTCACAGCGGCTTCGAATACACCGAGCATAAAGCGGATAGCGATAGCACCGGAGTAGTTGTTGACAGCGGCAAAACAGCTCAGGATCAATCCCCAAATCAAAATACAGGCTGCAGAGTATTTTCCTAATGGGAGACGCTGCAGGAGGCGGTTGGTTGGGTATTCCCAGGCGAGGTAACCTATGCAGAAGCATTAGATTTAATGCCCCCGGAGAATAATCAATTCAAGAGGAGAAAAATAGAAATGGAACATACCAAAATAGAACAAACTTCCAAGCCACTGATACTGGTCTCCCTCAAGATTCAGATCCTGCTTAAGACCCATGATACTAGCATAGGAGAGGGTGGTTTCTATACATCGGACCGCAGATTAGCACCTCGAGTTGTATGAACGGTCAAAAGAACAAAGCATAAAATAAATATCGCTCTTGCTCCGCTCCGATTAGAAACAAAATCGAGAAAAGTATGCACATACTATCCAGATAATTCATGCCATAGATAAGGCACATAATTGGCATCATATGCCAATCAATGATCCTTAACAAGCGGCGATTCGTGGCCTCGTCCAGCTCGATAGTTTCACCCTGAAGATCGCCCAAGGCCTTCAGAGCCTCGTCGGCGTCGTGTGAATGTTTCTCTATCATGGGGTCAACATGCTTTATATTGCCCACGTCGATGCCATTGTCCACACTAGAGGAAATGCCGGTAGCTTTTTCCTCCGAGGCCATGATGCCGGTGTTATTATGTAGAGCGTAAAAGGATGGAGCAATGGAGTAATTAATATCAGACAAGGTCGCACAGAACAAAACTAAGCTCTCGCCAAGTTAATAGTAGTGCAAAAGTAAGCAATACCAAGGCAATATATAGAAAAGGATCAAAAGGCCGACCCCAACTGGGCGGGCACAGCTAAATAACGTAAAATCGAGTAAGGGAGAAAACTCCGCACGCCCGATAGCTATAGATGACGATACTAGTACTTAAGACTAAGTAGGTTACTGAATCCTGTACCCTGTACCTCCAAGCAAAGCCGGCTAGCTGCACTGCACCTGCCGTTATCTCGAGAGAGTCTCCTTGAGACTCCTCCTATCAAGCAACGCAACACATGCAGCTCGGCAAGTAAGTGGGTCTCTCCTTGATAAGAAGCTGTTCTATCTGGGGTTGGTAGTTTCTGATGTGTCTCATTGGATAGTCAGGGGAGGGGGAGGTGAGGGGAATGATCGGCATGGCAGTTTACTTTCGAGGTAGGTATTTCTATAACCAAAAGAAGAGAATTAGAGACGGTAACGAATTCTTTCTCCCTCAACTTCTGTTTTCTCTTCTTTTGTTGTCGCTACATATTATTTCCCAGAACAAATATTTTAAGACTATAAACAAGAATGAATTATTACTAAACGTGCAGTCAGTCCACGAGTGCTGAAACAAAGGCCACTTAAGTACCGTACTCTACTCCGTACCATACTCAACTATGCTTAGTGGCTTGCTTGTCACTTTTCCTATCTGTATATCTCCTCTACTGTATCCAGACCCACTAGAAACGGCCCTTTCTTTGGTGATATCTTTCAGCAGCCTCACTGATCTCACATCCCCATCAGCTAATCACGCCACAGAAGCAGGCGTGTTTAGTATGTTCCCATACAATATCTGCCTCTCCTGAATTTGGAGCATGTCGTGGACGAAAGAGGCGTTGCGATGTAAGCCCCATATGTATCCAATGCATATGATAGGGATGGTGGGGAAAATCTGGTGGTAATTAGCTAGACTAAACGCATATGATAGATTCAAGAACATAAACAATGCCTCCTCCGTAAAGTGTCTACATATTTCATATCTTCTCTGGCTAGCTCCCCATCCTCAACTTTGTCCCGACATCTCTTCGCCGTTTCAAGAAACCCCAATCTTACAGGATCAACTACCGGGAAACAAAGTTTCATGATGACAGCACGCACAGAATCATAAAATGGCGAAAGCACATTGGAGGCTCCAGGTCAAGTCGCCCTATCCTCTACCGATCTCAAACAAGGAGTAAGCGACCCCAGCATGCACTCCCCGTGGGAGAGATGCGGCGGGGAGCAAAGGCTGGGTTGTCACTGAGACAGTTCTGGATTCTTATGCTCGGGTCTGCTTTCTTAATATTCTTCCTATGAAGGTTACGTTGTGATCTAAGTATAATATCTACTGGACTAAATGTGGGAATGTCTTTGACCGCGTTGGATTTCAACATAGTCGCCACAGCTGTGGCTGTTTGCTTGCGCGGTAGGTTTCTTGATCAGTTCGGCTTGTGCGAAGTAGCGGAAACTATAGGCCTTTGGAGGAATGGTTAGATATTTCATCTTTGTTGACCTTGCAATCAAAGGTAGAAGGGGTATAGATAGACATACGCTAGCTTCTCTACTACCTATGCATAGTCTAATCAATACTACTAGAAATCACAGGATATACATAGAAAAGTCGCTTGCACAAAGTATGCTTTTTTTACCGCCTCACATACATTCAAAAAGATCAACTAAAAAGACATCTCAAAAAACCAGCTAGAAAGACCTACCAAAAGGACACTATAAGGCTGCAAATGCGGCTGACTGTTCTTGTATTTATTAATATCAAAGACATATAATGTAGGGCTAGCTACTTGTCGGTGGGTGCAGTTATGTGTGGGGATGTATATGTAGTGGGGATAATTACAGGACAGGTCGGATGTTACAATGCACAACATATCGACATGCTTACACTTCTAGTTCTGTGTGTTCCGACGAGTAGAAACACGAGGACGGTAGTACTCTTATACGTTGTTCGGGTAGTATCGCGGCATCTGGGGTTTGGAGAAGGCCTCTTTATCAAGGCTACTCCAAATATTCAGGTATTCAAAGATTCAGAGATTCGCTTTTGATCTCATGATTCATGGAATACGGGGTAAAACATGCTGTTGAGCACTTGCATGCATGTAACCCTTGCCCTTGCGTCGTCTGTACATGCAGGAAAGCCCTTACATAGCCCTAGAGAGACTCCCGAGCTCGTGAACAACACTGATGTAAGAAAGCACCAGGCTGCAGAAGATTCATATAGCATGCCATCAAATATATATATTTTTCATTATGCATCACTACGCATGTACCTACAGTGGAACGTAGACTGCACGCTCTATTGCGCGCCCACGCGGGCCAGATATGCCTCCCAGCCCTGCTGCTGGTACTGCTTAGCAGCCTCAACAGGGTCCGCAGCGGCGTAGATACCACGACCAGAGATAATAAAGTCCGCACCACGGCCAATAGCCGACTGCGGCGTCTGGTACTGCTGACCGAGCTTATCACCCTTGGACGAGAGGTTGACGCCAGTGGTGAAGACGACAAAGTCCTCACCCTGGGTGGGGTCCTCGGTAGACTCGACCTCGCCCAGCGAGCGGGTCGAGACAAAGCCCAGAACGAAGCTGGGGTATTTGCGTGCGATGTCGACGGAGGCGGAGGTGTAGGCGCCCGTTGCGAGGGATCCCTTGGAGGTCATCTCGGCGAGGATGAGGAGGCCGCGCTCGGAGCCGTAGGGGAAGTCAGTGGCCTGGGCGGTTTGCGCGAGGGCCTCGACGATGCCCTCGCCGGGTAGGACGGAGCAGTTGATTATGTGGGCCCATTCGGAGATGCGGAGGGTGCCGTTGTGGTACTGTTTCTGGACTGTGTTGCCGATGTCGATGAATTTGCGGTCTTCGAAGATGAGGAAGTTGTGCTTTTGGGCTAGGGCGTTCAGGCCGTCGATTGTTTCTTGGCTGAAGTCGGAGAGGATGTCGATGTGGGTTTTGATCACGGCAATGTAAGGGCCAAGGCCTGTGAATATGTGAGTGGGTTGTTTCGTTGGAGGGGTAGGGCGGGATGGGTTCACTTACGGTCGGCGAGGTCCAGGAGCTCCTTTGTTGTGGTCACGTCAGCGGAGACGGTGACATTGCTCTTCTTCTCTTCGGCAACTTGGAAAAGCTTGCGCGCGAGGGGATTGGGGTGCGATTGAGCGCGAGCGCTGTAGGTCAATTGCGACTTGGAAGACATGGTGGGGTTGGCGGGGTGAAGAGCGGTTGTTATATATTTAGTATGTGTTTTGATGTCTCCAGAGGATGGAAGTGAATTAAACGACAGATGCCTTCAGAATACAATTGTCTTTTTGAGGTCCAAAGGTACAAGAATAGAAGCAAGTTCGAATTGAAGACCATCGGGGAACTTTTTCTGCCACAGTGGGCCCCGCAGGCCTAATCTTCCGAGGCTGGAACTGTGGCGCATAATACGTTGCATTGGACATAGAAATACATAGCACATCTTCAATTTTAAAGACATTTTAGAGGATTCCAAGCTCACATTTAGAAAGAAAGCAGTGGCCGTCCAACACCGTAGACACTCAATCCCCAGAGAGCACCCTGCACAAGCCAGAAGAACCCGCCCATCATGCGGCCCTTACCCTGCGGCTTGCCCGAGTACACATAGCCGTAAAGGAACAGAACGCGGAAGAAAACCCACAGAGCGCCCAGACCAGCAGCCAACTCCGGGTACTTCAGACCGGCGACCAAGGTGAAGAGCATTGTCTGCGAGGCATTCTCGAGGAAGTTGGTGTGTGCGCGCTGGGCGCAGTTGAATTTCTCGGCTTTGGCCTATAATAATTGGTTTAGTAGGTGTCATTTGATACTCAAGTACTCAATGGAAAGTACATAGATTTCCATTGAATACGGGGGGCTAGTGAAGGTCGGGAGATAGATGGGGAATGATATGTACGTTTTCCTTGCACAGCTCCATGGAGGCATAGCTGTGGGGGTAGGGCACCTTGGCCTCCTTGCGCAGGTTGCCAGTAATACAGCCGTGAACGAAGCCCAAAACGGGGATGGCGCCGAGTGCGACGGCAATGACGGCACTGGGAAATAATGTTAGCCTCGGATTTCACGCAAAGCCTGAAGGCCAAGCCGGGAGTGGCATAACCTACCCGTAGTTGCCAGGAACAATGAATGCGACCATTATGAGAAGAGAATCCGGGGAAATGATGTGAGATAGTGGCGTTGTGTTGTGATTTGGTCTGCCAAGGTGGTGCTGGGGCTCCTTTATACTCAGTTGAAGGTTCGGGGATAACAGATCCGAGCCTCCGTCGGTGCAATCGATTTAGCCGACCCGCGGCCTTCCAAGGGTTACCTTGTCTACTTTTGTGGTATAGTTGGCCTTTCGGAATGACTTTCGGTCGAAAAATTGTCTATAACCTTCGTTAAAGCCGATGTGTCATGGAATTGACAGCCCTGGAGTACAAAGTACTGATGAGAAGGTAACAACGATCTGACGTCATGCAAGGAATGTTTTCTAGCATCTCACGAATAACCTTGGAAATATTCAACGAGACCTAGTCTCAGCGTATGTCAAGAGAAATGCGATACACAAAATGGCTAAATATTTGTTGAAAGGTTCATGCTCCCACGTTTGGCACCATTCTACTTACACTCCCGTACTTGGCCTGCCAAGCGAAGAAGTACAGGAGTGCCCCAAGCGGTTGTCCGACGAGACAAAAGCTGACCCAGAATATGCAGTTTCCAATGACCCTGCCTTCAGGCCCGCGCATATTATCCAATGGTGCAGTGAGGGATATTAACGGCAGCTGGAACATCATTCCAAAGAACGCGACACCTGGACACGATTAGCCTTTGAGTAGTGATCAGAGAGTGAAGGACATACCAATAAAGTTATGCGTGGGGATGCCCACGAGCATTTCGTGCAGAATTGCGGAGAGCGTGAAAACCATTCCACTCGCAGCCAGAGGACTCCATCCACGACCCACCAGCGGCGAATAGACATGTCTCTTCATGAACAGATAGACAGGCCGGTTCCAGGATCGCCAATACATACCCAGACTGGAGCTGTTCCACCAGTCGGTATAGAACTCGCGGTCTCCAAACCGCATGACCTCGGCCAAAGCGTTCAAAAGCGCTTGGAACAACGCAAAGAAGCCAGCAAGCCAAATAACCAGCGAGATAGTGGACAGCTTCATGACCCGCTCCAAAATGGACGCAATGTCCATTACTGCGATCTTATCGATCGAATTTCGCAACACCGGTGCGGCATACTGCGCAGACAGAAGCCAAATAAACATTGCCAGGCCCACGAACTCTGCAAGGCGCTTTGCGACAAACGACCACCGGATGGATGCTGTGCGCGGATAAACCGGCTGATACACCAGTGTCGGCGCCAGCCAGAAGTAGGCCAGGTTATTGATAGTAATATTCCTCGGGTAAGGGCAGGAAGAGTAGATTTCGGGCAAGCCCGGGTCTGCGGAGGGATTAAGCATAGCGAGGCGGAGGTCTCGGTTTGTGAAAGCATAAGAGCAGTTCTTCAACCACACGATGATCGCGTGTAGCTGGCATATTGTCCCAATTCCTGGGTGGTGGATGTAGAAATATACGACGAAGCTGGTTACTGTGAGGCATAGGGTAGCATTGAGCGTGTGGAGGAAAGCAGTGTACGGCCATGTGGACTGGAAGACCTTCTGGTCTTGCTCTTTCTCTTTTTCCGTCTTCTTCTGACGACCCACTGTCTGCTTGGCTGCAGTAGCGGCTGATAGCTCGATGATGTATGCCACAAGCAAATGACATGGAACCGAGGCAAACAATATGGACCCCAAAACAACGTCTTGCCTGCGATAGTCGTGGCATTTAATACAAATTAGCACGCCGTACTATATGCTTGTTAGTTGGCAATCGCGAAATAGTAATTGAATGTTTGGATTACCCACTTTCATGAAGTTCTCAATAATCAATCGCAAGTTCATCGCCACTGTCGGAACATTAGCCGTTTCCATATACAATTCTCTAGTGATCCTTACCAAGTACCAACACCATGAGGTTTCGGAACCCCAAGAAGTTGGGAAGTACATCAGCTTCTCGACTGAGGCTGGAATGCCGGGTTTCTGAGTGGTATGCAGCTACATGGCGATATTTACTGCGTTTCTTGGAAGTTGAAGCTGATGGTGGGGAGACCTCGGTTGCAGTCGGGCTGGTCCCATTCGTTGGATTGACCTGAGATGCCTCGCGGGCGCTCGTAATTGCTCCATTGCGAGTAGTCATTTTAGCAGCTCTGCGACCTTGGTAGTGTGAGAAGTCGAAGGGTCCTTAGGTCGAGCTCCGATTAAACCGGAGCACCGACGGAGAGCAATGCGAAGAGTAGAACAACAACCAGGCAGCACAATTACGGCAGATGAGAAGAGAAGAAGATGAGAAAAAGACAAAAGGCAAAAGCACCAGAAACAAGATTGATTTAATACTGAACATGGCGGGGGGAGAGGCATCATAGCGCAAGCTTGCAGATAAATCCCGCAGGGGCCAATCAGCGTCACAGGCGTTCAAGGGACGGATCCTGCGCTCCGAAGAGCTTCGACTCTCTCCGCATCTTTTATTCATTTTAGCCTTGGACCGGTCTGATTCAATATTTGATCAGGATTTGAAACTTCAATTGCCTTTGAATCCTCATGTTCGCGAACCGACAGCCTTGATCCTGTACATCTTTTCAACCGGTCGCCATGGCCTACTACGACGACAATGCAGGTGACGGCCCAGGGCGATTTGGGAAGAATTTCGACGGTCCAGTCGGACCTCGCAGACCACGTATGTTTGCTTGCTTTGAACCGACTTTGACTGAGCTTCTGCTTGTTCATGGCTTGAAGCCTGGCTGACAACCGTTAATCACAGGTCTCGTCACGGATTATGGCTCTTCGATGGTACAATGGATGCGAACACGGCAACCGAGATACAAAGGAGGACATCGATTGGAGACGGAACGACCAAGCCCCAGCTTTGCGGTCGATGTATGTGTCGTTCGAGCTGCTCTGGCCGGGCAAAGATATTGACTTGCGACAGGTTCTTCCCCCGATGGCGCGGCCCTATTCTGCTGTCGACACAATCCCCGTGCGACACCTTCACCAGTCAATCGGAAAATCAAAGAAACCCATCGTCGTGGTGCGATGGACTCCCGAGGGAAGGCGGCTGTTGACCGGCGGTCATACGGGAGAGTTTATGCTTTGGAATGGAACGGCGTTCAATTTCGAGACGGTTATGGATGTGCGTATTTACAGGCTCTGTGGATTGCGCTCTTGCTAATCTAAGATGCTCTCTCGGTGCAGGCACACTACGATCAAATACAGGCTGGTGTCACGTCCTTAGCATGGGCCCATAGCCAGGACTGGCTGGTCTCTGGAGGACAAAGAGGTGATATCAAATACTGGCGACCCAACTTCAACAACGTCGAGACGATCGATGATGCACACCATGACGCAGTCCGCGATCTGGCCTGGGCACCCAGTGATACCAAATTCCTTTCAGCGTCCGATGACACAACTCTCAAAATTTTCGACTTCGCAACCCGAACGGCTGACGCAACACTGACCGGACACAACTGGGATGTCAAGTCTTGCGACTGGCACCCAACCAAGGGACTCATTGTTTCCGGATCGAAGGACCACCAGGTCAAGTTCTGGGATCCGCGCACTGGTCGTTGCTTGACGACCCTCCACAGCCACAAAAACACTGTCACATCGACGCGATTCTCGCGTGTGAACAGCAACCTTCTTGCTACTTCGTCGCGAGACCAGACTGCGAGGGTATTCGATCTGCGGATGATGCGCGATATTTGCATTCTGCGAGGCCATGACAAGCCTGTTTCTTCTCTAACCTGGCACCCGATTCACAGTAACCTTATCTCAACTGGTGCCGAGGATGGTTCTCTATATCATTATCTACTTGATGAGCCGAACCTACCGGCCGGCCAGATTCCCACCGTGGCGCCGTATGACAGCCCGGACCCAGCCAATACTCCGCCGCAGGTGATCTATCCGGCACATCGGGTACAGTACGCGCACGGTGCTACAATTTGGTCACTAGACTGGCACCCACTGGGCCATATATTGGCTTCTGGATCTAAGGATAACTTCACTCGATTCTGGTCGCGGACTCGGCCCGGCGAGACTAGCTATATGAAAGACCGATTCCACATCGGCGAAGAGGCCGCAGAAGCCCAAGGAACATGGAACCGCGGGTTTGGCCGGAAACAAATGCGCGAGGACGAAGAACAAGAAATGCAGGACGAAGCTGACAGCCTGGTCGACCAACGACGACCAGGTGGCCCTGCTCTGCCGGGTATTCAAAGTGCGCCGCCGGCCGGCCCTCAGCCCGACGTTCCAGGGTTGCTACCTGGTATTGGCAGTGCTCAGCCTCGGCAGCCAGGAATGGATGGTGGCGCTATGGGTGGGATGAACCCAGAACGTTTGGCTGCACTCATGTCTTCTCACCCTCCATCGCAGTCGAGTACCCCCACACCTGGAATGCATGGTTTCCCCACGCCGCAGGGTATGACTGGAACACCCCCAATGAATATGGATCTAGCACAATTGCAAAAGCAACTCCAGGGTTTCCCCATGCCACAGAATCTCAACCTCCAAGCTCTGGCGAACAATCCTGGCTTCCCTGGTGGATTTGGTGGTCTGCCTGGTTTGCAAGGCGGTGGTATGCCCGATGGCAATCGGAGACAGTGATAAAAGTGGACATCTGATTTGAAATTCACGTTGAATCGGCTTGGCATTGGCGCAAAGGACATAATAGCATGGCTACTTTGATGCGTGGCGACGGCGTTATCTGAGATATCAAATCCCATTTGTATCATAGGAAATTTTCGGGCATTTCGAGGTCTCCTGATTCTTTGTCGACGAGACTGTTTGTGTAGATTGGTTGGACATATTCCGAATTCGTAGTTGCCGTCCACGTAGACAGCCAGTATATCTTGTACGTAGCAAGGTCGAAGGGAATAGCAGCCGAGATACCATTCAAAGACCACCTTGCATAGGGAAGCTGGTGACAATAAGAACCATAACATTAACACCACCCCATATCATCGGTAGCAAAGTCGACATCCTGAAATTGCCTGCTTCATACACCGCGCCGAGGCTATCCACCGCAGAAGCGTCAGCTACCTCATAATTACGGAGAGGCCAAGCGTCAAGCAACCAACTTACACAACTCCAATTATACTCCCGGCTAAAAGCGACTCAAACGCTGCGATAAAAATGTACACCAACGGCACAATCCATATCACATTGCAGTGTCGGAAATGAGTCAGTACTGCGCACCCAGCAACAGCGAGGTGTGTTGCGCTGTAGAATATCAGCGTCCAGAAAAGTGTGAAGCGCCAGATGTCCTTCGTGTAGTATAGGTAGTATGCTTGTTGATGAGTTGCCGGCAGGGGAGAATACAATGACGGAAACGAAGGCACTTCGTAGTTAATCGGGACGCGGTTGTTGGCCATGGATGAGGTAGCTGCGCCGGTTCAGCTGCAGCGAAGATCAATCATCGAAGCATGACACGTGAACGGAGATAGTCATTCAATGACCATATATGATTTGCACGCGTATAACAAAAAAAGGCAAGAGACCCTCGGAGATGACGATGCTTGTTTGCACTGTTTGTCTTCATGTCATTGGTCAATATTGCGTAGACACCCCCGTATTTGGCTCTGGAGCCGGACCTCGGCTTCTCCGCGGTTGATCATCTCACTTCCCTGGGCGATGTAGAGCCGCTTGTCTGGGAGCATCCCTATCACATCCAGTCTTGAAATGGCCACGGAACGATCTCTGGCTACGCTGCTGCGGTCGCTGCAGGCGACTTCCAGCTTCCATGACGCCGCTTCGTAAGTGTCACATACCCCCAATCCAATTGGGGAGGTCAATGTTAGGCTAATGACACACCAATTCAGTCTTCTACCCACGGCTACAAGTTTCCTGTCAATGTTAGGGAATCCTCTAAATCTGACACTTCTTTCATCACAACTCCTCACTGCGCCTTCACTCTGGAGCCACCCCGTCGACCTTCACTCATGTCGCAAGATCCTAAGCGTCTTCAACACCGCCGCCATCGCTGTCTTGCAAAATGATACCACCGACGAACCCCGGATACCATACGGGCGGAATAGGAAGATTGAGTATGAGGCATGGATTAGGGCGGTTGCGGAGGGCGCCGATGATAAGTCCCCGCGGTGGAGACATATGCTTCTACTAGGCGGGATCTTGATGGGATTTGAGGGACAAAACCGGCGGGGCTTACCACGGCATATTCGGGTGAAACTCGAGTCAGCACTTTCGAGAGCGGCGCAATTAGCGCTAGAGGAGCTTGGTCCTGAGACTGGGATTGATGGACAGTGCATCACTATGGTCTTGAACTATACCTTTGAGCTTCTGTCAGACCTCGAGAGAAGCAAGCTAGATTATGATCGCTTGCTCCCGGCGATGATTAAATCGGCGTACTTGTCTTCGGAGGGCCTTGAGGGTGGCTATTTCTTGGGATCTATTGATCAGGACGTTGTCGAGGCTCCCGGAAAGCAGTTTCGCTGGTCGTCCAACTCCCCCACGTTTGGTATTGTCTCGGCGGTAGCTGCTCGCCCGCTTGTGTCCACCCTGGGGCCTTTGTCTCGTCTTATCGCGCATTCTGTTGATAATGTTCGGGATCCGAGAATCGTTGGGCAGACCGTTGATTACCTGGCGGGCTTCGTTCGGACGCTCATGGTTCAATGGCGGCAGAATAAATTGTCTGAAATTGATGTTGCGGAAGAGATGGAGTTCCTGGATGCTGAATCCCGGGAAATCACACTTCCTGCGCTCTGGAAGATGTTGCGGAATTGCTTATATTCGGTGGTTATTACCCTTCGCGCTGTGCTGGGGAGAACTATCAATGACCCGGCTCTTGCTGCCAACAGTAGTAAGTTACAGACGAGTCGTGATGTTTGCTTTGTACTAACTATATTTTTTCCAGGTGCCCCATACCTATCGATGCAATGTCTCCACATACTTCGCAACATGTATTTCATCTCTTCGCGGCTTGGCCAGAATGCCTCGTCGCAGCAGACATTTGTGCTGTTGGCAGCCATTGACATCCTTTCACAATACCCCGTTCTTGCCGAGAACTTCCTGCGAAGCATTAAGCCAAGCGACATTGGACAAATTCCTGCTCACCCAGTTGAACGATGTCTAGATCTTTTCTTCTTGAATGTGGCAGAGCATTTCCCTCTTGTCATATCCTCAGAGACGAACGAAGAACTATTATTGTCCGCTGCTTTCCCATATCTCGCAACCGGTGCTAACAGTCTTCTGTTGGAGATTTTCGAAGCTGCTCACAGCCTGGTGCTTGTTGTCTTCGCTATTCCCCATAACTCGGAATTAGCTGCCAAACACCTACCTTTCTATATTGAAAATCTTTTTGCCGTGAGTTCCATCCCCGCTATTATACAAATTTAGATTCTAATCCTCTACAGGTTTTCCCCAATAACCTTTCCGCCCGCCAATTCCGTCTTGCTTTCAAGACTGTCATACAAATTACAGCACCTCCTTCTCCCTTAGCAAATAGCCAACCTCTTCTCCCCTCTATCTTGTTGGAAGTTGTTCACGACCGTGCTTTGAACGCCTCCTCCACACCGCTCCCTCCGCAGGGTCCAAATCCAGACATGAGCCAGAGTCCACCTGTCTCCGAGCAGGCTGTCCTGACCCTTGCTCTCCTCGATTCCCTTTCATTCCTCCGAGTCGAAGATCTAAAAGAATGGCTCCCCTTAGCAGCGCAATTGATCAACACAATTTCCGATCGCAATATGCGACATGCTTGTATCGATCGTTTCTGGGAAGCCCTAGCCGGCGGCGAGATGGATGTTGATCGATCCCACTGCTGTGTTACATGGTGGAGCACTGAAGGTGGGCGTGAGCTTGTCCTCTTCGGCGCCGAGACCGCCCCGGACGAGTCAGATGAGAGTGGACCTTACATGAGTGGCGCGGTTGGAGGAGTCGCGCCTGAAAGTAAGCTATAACGATGCCAATGTACATAGCTTACAAGACCGAAGCTACTACGCCTACGGGTGTGATCACTTATACTATATACCAGACTTCTAATCGATCAAATCCAGCTCCATACATTTTCACATATATCAATGGCTTCTTTGTATTTACTCAATTCAATATCTTTGATATTGTAACAGTTTGCGACTAAATACCCGGGATACCAACGGGGGTAGATTTTCTGTACTCAACATACTCGTCACCAAAAAAGGAGATCAAGTAAGCTTCTTCGCCTGTATCCGCATAAGCCAGTTAGCAATGGTTCCAATACGCGAAAACCGATAGACGACTTACGCTTGATACGGCTCGAGAAGAACCGCCACAACACTAGGGAATATCCGACAAAGCAAACCATATTCCCCAACACCAGCTGGGTTCCCAGACCCCACCAGAAGAATCCAAAGTAGCTCGGATGACGCAGATACCGATAAAGGCCAGTATTAACCAGAACGTGACCCTCCTGATGCTGACTCTGCACATGGTGGTTGAAGTTACTAGCAGCCTGTGCCATAGCAATAGTCCGAACAACCTGTCCGATCAACAGAAGCACAAAGCCTGCGACAAGCAGCAGCGAGATCGAGCTTCCGAAAAACGGTTCGGTCACAGTTACCAACCGCCCCGCAGCAGTCTGCCCGGGCCAGAAAAGATGCGAAACAAGGCACTCCACAATGGCAGATCCGTGCGCAATATTATACGCCCATCCATTCGATGACAGCAGGAACGCGGAGACAGTCGCATACCGGGTGTTGTACCGCGCCGTCACATAGAACTCCAGGAAGTGGAACAAACTCAGCGAGGCGACGAAGAAGGGAACGCGCCAGAGTGGAGTTAAGTACACGGTACTGAGGAACAACGACATGCTTGCTGATAGCCCGAGGCTGGTTCCGAGGAGCATTGCGCGCAGCGAGATCCCCGCCAGCGACATCTTGCCGTCTGGGTAGATTGGGGTGTCGGTGTTGGGCGCGACATTTGAGGCATCGGAGGAAGAGGAGGATGAGTTGCTGTCACTGCGATCGTGGATTGGAGGTCTAGGTGGTGAGGTGTGTTTTGAAACGTGCGTGAAGATCGGGGGTTTGTTTGGCTCTGCGCCGGAGGTTGTCGCTGATGCGTTGGGGTACATTCTTAAAGAAATGAGGGTAGTTGGAGGAAAGAGACTTGTTTTGGTGTTTATTAGGTTCGAAGATCGGGCATTTCGAGGGAATTAGTGGAATTTAAATAGTGTGTTGTGGTGAGTGGGTGTTGGTTTTCATTGTCTGAGAACAATCTGAAGAGGGTTGTATTGTTTTGCATCGGCACCTGCGGACCTTTCCCCCGACATGACGAGGGCCATCCCCCGGGCCCACATGGCCTTGGCTTTAGGGCTCTCAGATATCTACGTGTCTTAAAGTACTAGCTGATGCCTGATTTGGTTGTTTCTCCTCTTTTCGGTTTTTGTATATGATATCTATGGCTGTCACAGCCATGTCGGAGCCTACTGAGAAAGAGAAGATGCTTCGCGGGGAGCTCTACCACGCCTTCACGCCGGACTTAATCGCTGCTCGTTCGCGCTGCAAATGGGCTTGTAATCGGTTCAATAAGTCGGACGAGGTACCCCGTAGGCGTCTCGTTGAAATGTGGAGAGAGTGAGTGATACATTTCAAGCTAAGGCTTGGGTTTATACATGTACTTCAATTCAGAAGTATACTGTTTATACTAAACCATCATATAGTATCGCCGACGACAAGACCCCTCTGCCACCAAAGCTAGATGATCCCGCAGCTGATGAAGCTCTCTTCGAGCAGGATCCCTGGGTCGAAGCACCTGTCCATATAGACTATGGGTTCAACGTCAAGCTTGGAGCAGGCGTCTTCGTCAACTTTAACTGTGTCTTTGTCGACACATGTCCCATCACGGTCGGCGCTCGCACATTGTTCGGCCCCAATGTCAGCTTATTCTCTGGGACTCATCCACTTGATCCTGCTCTGCGAAATGGCACTAAAGGCCCTGAGACTGGGAAGCCGATTGTTATTGGGGAGGACTGCTGGCTCGGTGGGAATGTGACTGTACTTCCTGGAGTCACTATTGGTAGGGGTGTAACTATTGGGGCTGGTAGTGTGGTTACCAAGGTATGTCAAATGCGCCTTTTCATAGTTTGATTGTACAATGATGCTGACTTTAGCTTCAGGATGTGCCCGCCTTTCATGTGGCTGCTGGGAACCCAGCTAGGATCATTCGCCGAATTGAAACGACCATGAAAGAATGATTGCCCGTATATTATTCATCAAGTGATAGATATTAGAGAGGTACCTATAGAACTTTATAGTGAGTCATCTATGAGATATTGAAGGATCAATGAAGCTGCGTCTATATGTTACATGGACGTCATGCACGCCTGGTCCAAACAACGATATAGATAATGATAAATAAGTAAAACATTTTTAATTTTCTCTCACTTTGACAAATTGAACCGAATAGATTAAACAATACGGAGTAGACAATGGATGTAATAGATGTAATAGATGTAATAGATGTAAAAGATGTAATGTGATGCCAAGAGTCTAGACTTGATGCACAAGACCGCATAAGGGGCTGTGCACTTTTTTGGCGCTTGATATTCGCTTTATATATAGCTGAAGTAATAAGGCAGTCACATTTGCTACAAACTTCACAGGAATTATATGTATTATTTTTTTGTTATTTCTATGTAAACTGCAATAGACCATGTGCAATGCAAATATGCGATAGTAACCCCCCAGAAGCTTGGTTGTGTCTTTGTTTAAAGAGAGATCGTCCTGTTCGCTCTCCTCCTCCACAGAACAACGTCACTGGTCCTGGCGCGTCCCCAAAAAAAGCTGTCGACCGCTTTATCATTTCTGAGGACTTACCTTCACTTCTCTCCCACTCAATCCTTTTTTCCTCTTAAACTCACAACCTTCCTTTTCTTCAACCTTCATTCTCGTTCTACCTTCATTTCACGCGTCATTTCAACTACCCTGGATCTACTACGCGCAGAAAATGACATGGCTGTACCCCCGCCAGATAGCTCTTACACCCCACCTCACACTCCCTTGATCGAAGAATCTCCATTCATCAGCGACTCCATGGAGGATCTTGATCCTCAGGCGACCCGGAAACGTCCGCGTCTCGACAGTGGAAGTCGCGTCAGTCCGACCTTGTCGTTGGATGGAACCTCGCGTACTGCCTCCATCGCACCTGCCTCAGACATGGATGCGGCCTCGGATTCTGGAAATCCAGCTAACAAAGTCACCATTAACACAAAATCTCCTCTACCTTCCATGGCTCCCGACCTCCCTCCCTCCAACCCTGAGCTCTCCGGTAGTGAGCTGGAGCTCCTACCGGATATCGACACAGCTCCCAATCCTATTTCAGTTTCCTCCTCACCCTCCTCACCCCGAAGTCCTGAAATCGAAGTTGCTGAACCGGAAGACATTAATCAAAACCCGAACAACTCAAACTGGAAGTCACTGGGCCAAGTGGTGCGGGATCAAGATGAGCCCGAAGTGATAGAGATCCAGGACGTGCTTCCTCTTTCCGATTCGTTCCCTAAAGTACACAATGAGATGACACCCAAAGAGAACTTCAAGGCGCTTGGTGATATGCTTGAACATGGTAAAACAGTACTCCACCCAACGACCCTTGGTCATATACTAATTCAGCGAACAGGTCACCCACGGGAAGGCACAGCGCTTGTTGCGATACAAAAATGGCTTCATACATGTGTGCATGATCTTGATCGGCTTACAATCGAGGAATTTGCCGCAGATCTAGATTTCTGGGAATATTTGCCCTCCGTCCTGGACCGTCTTTTGCGCAGACAACAAGACCTGCAATTAGATGTGATTGAAGATGTCTCAGGTTTCTTCGAGCAATATCTTCTTGACTATGCTCAAATTGTCCTTCATCTTGTTCGCTTGGACACCGCGCTTCTCCGTGCTGTTGACGAAGATGATGAAGACATCGAAATACCCCCCAGCACCTGTCGACGATACCTCCATAGCTTCCCTTGGATGTTCCATGGCGACCAAATTCCCTTTTTCCGAGTCCTGGAAAATCATTCTCGCATTGGAACTCTCGATCTTTCTGCGCGACTGAAAGCTCGGGTCTCAGCCCCTCCGTTTGATGCACCCGGCGCACTTATGCAATACGCGTCGCACCTGCTTGCATTGATTCCAAAGTGTCCGCAAATCGTCATCATGCTTTCAGCTCCTTTGGTCAACCTGCTCGCATTTTTTGAATGTGACACAGAGAGGAGCCAAAATGGTGGTTCTGATTCTCCCATTGACCTGCCTGGCGATGCAACCAGCCTTCAGCCTTTTTACGAAACGGTTCGAGGAATCGACAAAGTGTACCGAACATTTGTCGAAAAGAAGTCGCAATTGGCCACTAGTGAATTGAGCGATAGTCTTCTGAACCCAATCTTCCGCAGCTACCGTTTCCTTTGCTTCGGTTACTCGGAATTTCTGCTCCAACTTGCCCAGGATTTGTCGATTCAAGTACCCGAGGAGGCAGACGCAGAGCAAGCCGCTTTTTGTATTATTTGGACATGGAAATTCGATACCTTGAAAAAGCAAATCATGGAAGGTCGAATGGAGCTTCGTGTCCATGGTGTGGAAATGATGCAATCGGATCTGGTCAGCATCTGGGGTCAGAATGTATCTCAGAACCGCGATGGGACCGAGTCGCCGTTTCTGAGATACTTGGTTGAATATCTTCGGGAAAACAAGATCCTCGATTATCTTGTGGGCATTGACTCACACCCACAGTTGATCAGCCGCAGCAGTAACATCTTCGGATTTCTGATTGTGACGGCGAAATACACCGACCATGACACGGATGTTATCTGGAAAACCGTCACTGAGAGCCAAGATGATCGCACTGTCTGTGAGGTCATGTCCATGCTCGCACGAACCTTTGCCATGCATCAGTCCGGGTCTAAAGCGTTGCTCTATGTGTGCTCAAAATTGCTTGAGTTTCCCTTGGATCGCTTCGACAGTCGCATAATCGATTTTTGCGAGCAGCTGGTGCCTCGTATGCGCGAACGGCCCCAGGATCGCGACCGGGACTATCGCAACATGTCCGGTGAGGAGCATGTCGATTCTATTCCACTGAAGCTCTGCATTCGCCTAATCCGTGAGAGCTCGGGGGCGAAGGACCTGCCTCTGGAACAAAAGGAACTCATGCAGGGATTCGGAAGCGAGCAGCTGGGTCAGTTCATCAAGGCTGGACTCAACGAAACCGACATGGCAGAGACTTATGAGCGCTGCATTCAAGACATTGGAGAGATGAATGAATGCACCGCGGGCAGCATCCAAGTGTTGAATGCACTAGTACCCCGTGATGATGCACGGGAGCTTTGGAAACTTGCGACCGATTTCGACTTGACGCGCTTGGTGATAATCGAACTTCACCATCTCGTCAGTGAAGACCACGCTAAGCTCAAGGACCCGTCTTTCAAGCATGACTTCTCCTCGCGGGTGGAAATCCTGCGGCGTCTTATTGATCTGGCCCCAGATACCATCACACCTGATCTCGGGAGGACGCTCTGGAAGGATATTTTCATGTCTGAGAACCTGGCTCCTGAGGAACGTCAAACGATCTGGAAAATGATGGTTGATCTCACCAACCGTACCGCCAAAGAGAACCCGTTTCTTGAGCTATGCATTCATAAGTATCTACCAGATGTGCTTCCTAAGGACTACTCGCGCGAGGTATTATGGTTCGCTCAACAATCGGTCCACTACGAGATTCGAATCAAGTCACCTCCCATTGTCGGGGAAAATGAAGTCATATCTATTCCTGGAATGGATCGAATTTGGAACTTCATACTGACGGCACCTCCACAATCGATCGAAGCCGAGGCTATCAAGTTCGCTATCGATAGCTATCTGGACCACGGTATTGTTCGCAGATCCCCCCGATCGGCTATTGACGCTACTCATATTGCTCTTGTCAATCGCTGCGTGGACCAACTGAAGTCTGCCGCTGTCGCGTTGAAACCATCTTGCAATAAAACAAGTAATGGAGATGTTTCAATGGATATCGACACTTCGAATGGCGGCATCGGAACTGACGAACTCATGTTCAGCCGGTCTCTACATTTCCTTCGCCAATTACTCCATGGATTGCGGACTCGGCCACAGTACAGCTCCCCTCGTGGCTCTCCACCTACTCTCCCAGAACGTCCTCTGAAAGGCGAGCCCGTGGAAATTCGATATCAATGTTTCAATGGCGCTTCTACGTCTAAGATCTGTTCAAAACGCATTGGTGGTCTCTCTACGGCTGCCGAGCTTGTGGAAATGCTTATGCAAATGAGTCGATTCTCTAAGTTTACCACTATCCTTGGTGGACAGAAGATCGAGTTACTGCAAGATCCAGAGGCCCTTGTGAAAAACTTGAAGCTCTCTTCAGGTTTACTCATTATTCGAAAGGCTCCTGATGCCCATGAAATCACATGGGCTGGGAGACGGCAGTCTCTCACAGCAGTGGATAGCGAAGTGCTGAAGCACTTCGACGAACTGTATGATATGCTTGACCTCAAGGATGACCTGGCTCGACAGGTATAATCCCCTTAACTCTTATCTTATAGCTGAATGCCGACACTGACATTTTGCAGATCATTGACTTCCTAGTTGTCTTCCCGCCTCAAGTGCGGGCCGTTGAACTTGTTCGATCCAGCAATAATACCGAGAAAGACATGTTCCCGTTGCAAAGACCTTTCAAGGCCTTGTACTCCTTGAATACACTGTCAATGTGCCTCCGCGAGGAGGCTGCAGAGGTGAGTTGGTTGCCTTTGGTTCAAATGATATCTGTGCTAAATATCATTACAGATGTCTCCAGACCAAGCTTTTGTGTCTCACAGCAATCAGGTTCTGGTTGGGTTCCTGACGTCAGATGAACTGTTCAGCTCTCTCTCCGGTAACTCGATAACCACTGTGCTCGCTACTAGAGCCATTGAATGTCTTCTGCTGGCTATATCTGGTATGTCGAAGATTAATCATTGTTCAGTGCATGGGCCTCAACTAATTGTGATCTAGTTTATCGCCCGACTGATGACGAGTCCGTTCTTATTGCTGATCCAATGGCTTTGGTCCGACGCATTCTTGACCTGCTTGAAATTGGCCGCACCGGTCCCACAGATCCACCGGCCGGTACATGCGCCCAAAGTTTGATTTGTAGTTCCTTTGCGGTCCTAGTCGAGGGCTCATTGCGCGACCTTAATGTCTGGAATGCTGTTAAACAGCA